GGAGGGGAAGGAGCAAAATAGAATTAGTTGTGTTTAGGCCTGTCCATCCGGGCCGACCCGGCCCGGCCCGGAAATCCGGGCCCGGGTTCCGGACTAGCCCGGATTTTTTTCCCATTTTTTTATTTTTTTTAAATTTTTTAGATTTTATTTAAATTTTAAATTATAAAAAAAAGATAAGAAAAATAATAAAAAACAATAATTTTATTAATCACTTAAAATGACATAAATTACAAATAAAAAATGATAAAAACAAATTCTTTATTAATAATTAATAAATCATTTACAAATTACAAGTACAAATTTATTTTGGATTTAATAGCATCACAATAGATAAGTAAATCCCAACTAGGTTGGCACCTACTCACCTATATCACTATCATTTGCAACTATTTCCAAAATAATTCTTTACAAATTTTAAGCTAAGACCTAAGATATAAAAATTACAATTTATTCTTTATATCTATCTGCTAGTCCCAATTCTTCAAATTTATCTTCAATTCCAGCCATCTGATCGATGCCTTGCGTTCGCTTCTCGTACCTCCACCAATCTTGTAAGCACATTACCGCTTGTACAGTGTACGGAACTAAGCATGTCCTGTGGTCGTCGATCAAACGTCCTGCTGTGCTGAAGGCAGATTCCGAAGCTACCGTCGAAACCTGCACTGTTAGTAAGTTACGAACCATGATGGAAAGTATAGGATATGAAACTGATCCATATACTTTGGTTCCATCATCTAAGTCTATAATTTGATTACCATACAAGGATTGTAACAAACTTCGAAGACCAATATCTTTCAAGCATGGATCAATAAGAACCCCCAAACTAAAAATATGAGGAATAGGTCTAAAGTACTTATTAAATTTGCTCTCCATTTGAAAAATCATAGATCCAAAAGTCTTATCCATACGATATTTCCCAAATTTTTTTTGAATATTTAAAATTTGTAAAGCAGCTAAAGTAATGGTTGGATAATAACAACCAGATAATAACATTGTAGCATCATAAAAAACTTGTAACATTTTATTTAAATTACATATAACTGTACATTCATCTTCAGTTATACCATAAGTGCTACCAGAACTAGAACTATAAGCATAATAGTTTATAAAATCAGTTATAATGTCTTTATATTCTATTGCTACACTTAACATTGCATAGGTGGAATTCCACCTATGGTCAACATCTTTTGAAATTAGTCTGGGCTTTACATTTTTTCTTTTATAAAATTGTTTCCATCTTTTAAGTCTTTGTTCAGAAGCATTATGCATGTAAGCAACTGTTCTAACCTTTTCTATCATGGGTTTAATTTCAGTAAATGCACTTTGAACAATTAAATTTAAAATATGACAGATGCACCTAATATGAAAAAGATCACCATGACATGACAATGATAAAGTTGATCTGATAAAATCAGCAGCTACATTGTTATTACTTGCATTATCTAGTGAAAGAGAAAATATTCTTTCTGAAATTTCTAATTTCATAAGTTCTTCAATTATTAAATCTGCAACATTAATACCAGTATGTGACTCTTCTATTGTAATAAAAGAAACAACTCTTTTAAACATTTACAAATTTTTATCAATCCAGTGTGCTGTGATACATAAATATCCAGTTTGTGCTCTAGATGTCCAAATATCAGAAGTTAAAGAAAATTTACAGTTTAAATTTTTAAAATAAGAAATTATTTTTCCTTGTTCCTCCTGATAATATTTTAAAATATCACGTTGACAGGTTTGACGAGAAATTTTTTTAAATGAAGGATAAAAACCATCCCTAAACATATCTTCAAATTCATCATCTTCTACTAATTTAAAAGGAAGGTTTTTAAGAATGATAAACCTGATTACGCATTTCCTGGCTCTGGCAGCGTCATAGTTCCAACTACCGAGACTACCAGAAGAGGAGGATTGAGAAATCATAGATTGTCGGATATCACCTTGAGGAGTCTGGCCTTTGTTGTGTTTATTTAAATGGCGTTTGAGATGGTTGGTGCCGCTCTTATGATGAGCTTAAAAAATCTTGCCGCACAACGCACACTTAGCCTTCTGAGTGAGGATCCTACCGTGTTCATCCTTGGTGATGTCGATCTTCTCGTAAAAATTCCACACATCGGATCTTGGCCTTTTAGGAGCTCTTGGTGTAGATTCGTCGCCACCGGATTCGGGATTAACTCACTATAAGAAATTACATCTTTAACGAAGGGATTTCCCTTCGTTAAAGAGCTAAAAACCGTTGTTATTGTATGCTAACGACGGGGAAAAAATCCCTTCGCCACCCGTCGTTGAAGCCCTCTTCGCTAAAGGGTCACGAAGGGATATACTACCCGTCGTTATAGAGTCTATAACGACGGAACATATTACCATCATTAATATTTACGACGGCAATTATCACCGTCGTTACCATCAATGACGGGGATATTTTCCCGTCGTAACCATTAGTGACGGGATATTTTCCCGTCGTTACCATTAGTTACGGGGATATTTTCCCTTCGTTACCATTAGTTACGGGGATATTTTCCCATCGTTGAAGACCAATTAATGACGGTTAAATACCGTCGTAAAAATCCTTATTATGGGTAATTAGTAATCCATCAACGATGGTACTTTCCCTTCGTTGATGAACAAAATACGGTTTATAAAACCGTTACTATAAACTACAAATTTCTAATATACATTAATGATATTTGGAGATTGATAGGTAACTATCATATTATTCTCAACATGACACTAAGATTCACAACACAAATATATTAAAAATACCCAATAATGAATAAAAGAGAAACAAAAAACTCCATTCATTAATAACTTCAATAAATAAAATTTCACCATATTCAAATATTCAATACTAATAATAAGAGTTAATATCCCAATTGTTCTAAAAAATACATGAAACTATCTAAAGCAAATTAAAATAAAAGTCTGGAAAAGACACATCCTTTCATCTCTAATCATTGTCAAAGAGAAGACTCGAGCTACCCCTCTCCTAATCTTGGATAACCTGAAAAAAATAAAAAAAATCACATAATTAAGAAATATCAATTAAGCAAATATTATATTATAAAGTAAAAATCACATTTTCTCTAGTGCAAGTAGTCAGTCATAAAAGTATATAAAAGATTTTATAAAAATAATTACCTAGTCATGTACATGTTCTTGAGCTTGAGGAGTCAAGGAAGTATTAGATTGTTGCCTAAATAAAAGTTCATCCTATAAAAATTAAATTCATATGTTAGTGCTATATAATGCATCATTATCAAACTTATTTTATATATTCTACTTACATATTTATCTTGATCCCCAATATCTAGTGTTTCATAATCTTCTCAATAACTCTGATAAACCTATACAAAACCAAGATATGATCATCTGTTAAGTGCAAGCATTTATAGAAGACATTGAAGAAATCTTAGGTTGTAAGAACCTTCGTATACTTGTATACAAGGTGGAAGAGTTAACAGAGGATAAGTATCGTTTTCAGTCTAGATCTAGCAGTTTGTTACTTTTTTCTTTTTTTCTTACACTAGTGTGTTGCTCAATTCTTTGCCTAACCAGTAAATGGAGAACAATGTTTCACATGGAGAGTATAATAATCATATGCATCTGTTGGATGCTAAGATGCAAACTGTCATGACTCATTTTGGAGCTAATATTGACATAGATTACCTGATAATATTTGCAAGGAATCAAGCTTACTCCCTTCAAATTTGATAGTTATCACAAATTTAAACCCAATACGTCATAAGCTTATACGTTGTTAATTAACTTTGATTGTGATTTTAATGCAACTTCAAATTAATGACAATTATAGTAAATTGGATTATTTAGCACCCACTTAGTTTACATATTTATTTATATAATTATATGGACTTCAAACACTATGCATGCAAAGAACCAACAGTTGGTCAATCTAATAGTCATGAACGAAGTCTTTAAAACTAGCAAAAACTTGTCTAAACCTTTTACACAACTAGCATCCCAAACTGAAACCAAGTTCTTGAAATCTTGGAACAGAACCTTAGGAAGAAGCTGGAGAATATATATAGCAATAGCAGCCTTCATTATGAAATCAGTTCTATGTTTGAGTGTTAAAAGTCATTTAACTCCACATCACCACCTTGGACATAAAATTTTATATCTGAAAGTACCAAAGACCTGTACTTTTGCTCATGAACATAGCTTGCTACATGAGCAATGTTTCTTAGTACACATTAATGAAAAGTGAAAACTGTGTGTCAAGCAGCACAAAGAATGAAAAAAAATTGTGTAACATTATCCAAGTGGGTAACTAAGATGGAGCTAACCTAAAAAGGCGACACAAAGAAGCCAAAGCCTGGATTTGTTGTGAATACAGAAGTGACATCAACCAATGCAGTGTTTGTACACACAAAGAAGCCAAAGCCTGGATTTGTTGTGAATACAGAAGTGACATCAACCAATGCAGTGTTTGTACGTGCAATGTTGCAACTTTAAGCATGTCTATACATAGAGCAGCAGGAACAGTCAAGCCTAAAATGATTCCAGAAAACGCAAGGCCTTTGATGTAATGCCACCAAAGGAAACCCAGAAAGAACCACAAGGTAGATAAAATTTGAATTGCATTGAGTGACACCATGCCAAGAAGCTCTGCTAGTTCCATGTTCAGTTTAAAGCCTGCTGGAACTCCCATCAACCGCACACAACGAGAGTTCAACAAATTGTCGGTTATATTCTGAGCAATAAACAGAGTCCCAGAGTAAACATATTCGATGGCAGATAATACTACCATTCCAAAAACATTTCCCATAATCACATCAATGGCAACGCTAGACGAGATAGAGTGCTTCCTTAGTGCAGTCATATGTGCATATTCAATATTTGATTGCTCTCTATAAGCCAAGAAACGACTTGTGAGTTTTAAGAAAATCGTGAGATTTCAAATTTCAAGTAAATGTTAACATGATATGCAATTTTGTGTTTACCTGAAACCAGTACCCAGAATAAAGACTGGCCAATAAAGAAACTGACAACAACAAATGTGAATATTCTTCCACGTCTGTGTAAATACCTTCTGTGGTATTATTGAAAAGAATGTATGTGCTCCAAACGTCAGAAATCCATGAAACAACTTAAGGACAACATACATGACCATAGACAAGGATGCCACAAGTACTGCAAGCACATACCATAACATAGATAGCAACCTAAGAAATCCACACCACACCGAGTAAGAAATTAAATATATGCTTAGAAAAAACGAGTTCCACAAAAATTATGATAACCTGGATATAATATCGAAGTTGATTGCAGGACCTGTGGTAGTTGAATCCCCTTTAGAGTAACCATAGCAACACTCACACAATTAAGAGCCCGCACCACTGCTTCCTCATTTCAACTGTTTAAGTTTAAAAGTAGCAAAAGGTGAAAATATCTAGAGGAATAAAAGTTGATAGACTTGCCAAGTTAGGAGCTACAGATCTTTTGTGAAGCTCATTAAACCAATTGGGCGTCTTGGATGGCATGACTACCTGCTTGCAATAACCCCAAGTTCTCATCGAAAAGTGATGTCTACCATAGGTTGGTCATAAAATATCAGCTGAATCAATAAATAAGAAGAATTATCTACAAGACAAATAGTCAGATTCTAAAGATCGGTAATGATCGTTTCCTGACTTACACGTGGACGTCGCAGTTGGACCAAGAAAGACCACTCTGATGCATGTGATGGAACTCCGGGATCCATCTGGACTTTTTACATGAGATTCTTTGGCAACTTACTAGTACCTGAATCCAGTTACACTCCGGGATCCATCTGGACTTTTTACATGAGATTCTTTGGCAACTTACTAGTACCTGAATCCAGTTACTCAAAATCTCTCCATAAGGTTCCACGGATAGATTTAGGATCTGACAACCACAACTCCGACGTTTATGATTCTCCATACATGATGCGCAGAAAATGTATTTTCATTTCCATACTCAGAGATGATGGTTCTTGTGACATCATTTTCTACCGACCCATGGAATTGTTTGCCTTTCCAAACAAGATCACCTTGATGGTTTTGCATAGTCACGACATCTCCCTTCCTCCTGCATACGGTACATTGCCCAAGCATACAGAATGATGAGGCTTCTTGTAGTGGGATGGGCATCTTCAAGTTTATAGACTGAAGAAATTCCTACCTTGTCGTCAAAGAATCAGACTGCGAAGTTATTCTTAATGAAATATGATATTTGATTTTTGTTAGTCAAGAAAGACATACAACATATTATAAGAATAAAAAACCAGTGGGAAAGGATAAGTAAAACAGATCACATAGAGCAGATCATTGCATATGACTTGCAAGTAAAGTCTTGACTATGATAATATCATCTAATTGTGGATCTTTATCATTATTGTTTAAACAATAACAATCACATGGTTTGCTCCTTTTGCATACAAAACTATAATTCGTATGGGAGGTGTGTTCAACCTACCCTAATTTTGACTTAATAATCCTTCAAAGCCTCCGGACTACAAAGATGTTTGAGGAAAAAGCAGCACTATGAGGGAGGGCGTCTTTATTGAAAATTTGGTGGGATTTGTACAAATGTCCATGTGATAATCTGATCATTACTGCTATGGAGATATGTTGTAGTCAAGTTTCTAAACCCCAGTCCCCAGATTTCATGGAAAGACAAAACATTACAAGAATCTAAACCCCACTCCCCAGACATCAAAATGGAGGAAATGATTAGATTCGAGCAATGGAAGGAAAATGCATAACAATTATCAGTGGCCGAATAATTTTATGAACCATGTTCTATGTAGAAAACCATGATGTACTTTTCAAGAAAAACAGTTAAATGATTTAACAAAAGTGGCTTTGAGCATAAAAATAATAATCTCTACAGGTAGATATCTATTTCAAAATCAACTGTCAAAATTGTACCTACAATTTCATAACTGATATACAGGCAATAACTATTGGCTTTCTTCTAAGGAAACAAAATCTAGTTCTTCTTCATCATCATCGTCGTCAACATCTAAACCAGAAAACTTGCTCACAATTTCTCTTATGAGATCCTCATTATTTTGTACTTCTGAGTTGCCATCAAAGTCAGGAAAATTACTGACCTTATCCTTAGAGGAAGAGGAGGCGAAGATGGGGCGGCACTGGGGCGACGACGGCACTGGGGCAGTGCTGTGGCAG